ATATCTTTAATTTTATTAATCTAAATAAGGAGTTTATCCTTTATTTTATTTATAAGGATAATAGTTATAGTATAGGGTCCTATATAGGTTTTAATATAAAGATTAGTAGTATTATAGCTTTTAATAAGATCTTAAATAAATTCTTTAATTATTAAATAATTTAAATAATATATCTTAATTAGTTTCTTAAAGTTATAAGAGGCCTAATAAATATCTATTTCTTTAATACTTATTAAAATAGTATAATAGAAATTATTTATATATATTTATAATAATATAGATATTTTAACCTTACTTTAAATATTTTTATTAATTAATAGTACTAGCTAGAGCTTTATATATTATAATATATAATCTTATTTATTAAATTTATAAGAATTCTTTATTAATCTAGATATATCTTTATAAATAATATTCTTTAGATTATTAATTTTAAAAACTTATTAAATATAGTCCTCTTAATATTTAATATTTTTTTTATTTTATAACTTTTTAATAATATCTAGAATAAGTTAATTATCTATAATTTTAATTACCTAATTAATATCTTTAATTATTAATATAACTACTATTTATTAGGTGAACCTTTAATTAGTTCTATCCTTATTATATAGGCCTATTAATATTTAATTTATTAATTAGATAGATATAGATTTTTTTAAATTTAATTATTATTAGTCTTTTAAATATATTTGGCCCTAGGGGAACTATTTATATTATTTATATTACTTATGTAATATTACTTATTATTTTATAAATATTAATATTATTTAGATAAGATCTTAAATAAATAAGAATTTATTAAATATAGTATACTTTATCTTTTTAAATAATATGCTACTATATTAGCCTAGTAGGCCTAAAAAAGGGAAAAGATAGCTAATAATTACTATTACTATTATAGCTTAAATATAAAGCAGGTGATTATATAGTATAGCCACATTAAATAAGGCGACACTAAGCCTAATTAGGTATACACCTCTAACAGTATCTATTCCTAAGTCTAGAATAAAGCTGTCTTATAGAGGATAGTTCCCCTTTATATTATTTAATACTATTAATATTATCTTTAAGCTTAATAGGATATTTTTAGGATATTAATAGGCTACTATATTAGTATTTCTATTCTATATTATAAGATTTAACTTTTTATACTCTTTCTTTATTTTTTTATATATCCTTATTATAGCCTTATAAAGCACTAGTTTCTTTTCTTTAGTAATATTAAATTACTTTATTATTTCTATATCTAGTATCTAACTATTAAGGTATATTTATTTATTAATATAATAATATTCTTTAAATTAATATCTTTTTCTATAAATATAATATAGTAATATCTTTTTTAATAATGCTATCTTTAATTTATCCTTATTATAGTCCTTAAAATATAAATATATTTATATTATTACTTTAAGAGATTTATAGTCCTTACTATTCTTTAAAATTAATTAATATATCTAGTATTAATACCTTTAATAAGTATTTAACTATCTAGTTCTATTAAATTAAGTATATTATTATACTTATATATTTATAATAAAATAGATTAATTTATTTAAGTAATTAGTATACTATTTATTTTATATCTATAATAGTATTAAGCTTAAAGCTATAATATTTAAGATAAAGTATCTCTTAATATATAAGCTATTTATTAAAGCTTTCTTTATTAATCATTTTTAGCTAGATATAATCTTATTTATAGTCTAGCTATATTATTTAAGTACTATTATTAAGTATATATCTTATTTATAGCTACTTTAATATCTCTTATAAAGTCTTAATTATACTAATTAAGTTTTATAAATATTTATTAATTATCTTTATAATTTAATTATAAAGTCTAATAATTATATCTTACTTCTTTTAATATAATTTTATATTATTATAATAATAATTAATTATATATTTATATAGGGCTTACTCTACTATAATAAGTTTCTCTAGTATTATTATATCTTATTAATAAAATATAGATATTAAAGCTTATAGCTCCTTTAGTATATCTTTATATTTTAGATTTATATATTCTTATATAAATAAAGATTATATATATTTTAATATAACTATATACTATAGAGGCTAATTATCCTTATTTTTTAGAATAATCTTATTAATATTAAAGGTTATATTTATAAGTAATCTATTAAAATAATATAATTATTTATAATACTTAATATTATTAATAGATTAACTTATTATCTAATAAATTAGTATAAATAAGTTATATTAATTAGATATAATTAGGCTTATAACTTTTAGCTAAATAATATAAGGATTCTCCTTATATAGAGCTAATAATAAGATAATATTAAATTAACTAATTAAATAACTTTTAGGGATAAATATTATTTATAATATATAAGTATATAGTAGAGTTAGGCCCTAATAATATATAAATAATAAGAATATTAATAAGAAATAGTTAATAAATGGTTAAGTTAATGATATAAAGAGAAGCTGTATATCTAATAATAAGTATCTATATATCTATTATAGTCAACATATAGTTATATTCTATATAGGCAAGATTACTTATCAAGTGATTATATGCGCGCTTTAGCACAGTAAAACAGCTAATATTAAGAGGTTATAGAATATATAATAAGTATAAAGGTATATAAAGAGGAATAATAATATTTTTTATATAGATTTAGTTAAATTAGGGGGTTAAATAACTATTATGGCTATTAAGGATTAATAAGCAAAATTAACCATATACATGTGGATTTATATATAGGATAAAGATCTTTTATAGCTAGTGAAGACTAATCTTATTAATAGTCTAGCCATTATTAGACACTTTAAATCGCCAGTCTCTTAGTAGATTAGTAAACTAATTAAATTAGTAAACCTTATCCTTAAAGATTATATATAGTGATAGTAAATAGTTATCTATATAGATAGCTTTAATTATAGTTACCTATTTATAATTTCTTAGCTATAATAAAGATCTTTAACTATAGTATTTAGCGCGCATATCCACCTTTTAATTTAAAATAAGGCCTATTATAAAGCTAGTCTTATTAAAGTTATAGATATCCTCTAGTTAAATCCCTTTCTTATTAATTATATGCTGTATAGTACTAAATTAAGTATATAGGGCCTTTAGATCTTTATTAAGAGCTCTCTAGTAATTATATCTCTATAAGAAGTGTATATAAAGCTCTTAGTAATATTTTATAAAGATTAATAGCTAATTCTTACTAATAGTAAGAGAGCAGGATTCGCTATATATAGCTAATAAGATATTAGCTATATCTTATATAATAGAGGTCCTTAGAGCTGCTCCACGCATATTTATAGAGATTATTTATTTAATAACTAAATCCTTTTTTACTTAAGTTAGTTTATGGCTAGATGGGCGCTTATTAACACATGATTTAATACCATGTGTGCAATTATATAGTATTAATTTAAGTACACTAAATAGCCTAGCCGCTGCATGAATAGATTTAATATGACTATTTTTAATATCTTTAAGGGCTAGTAGGATCTTACCCTCTTAATTTGCCAATTTATGGCTAGATTCATGGCGAATTGGTGGCATAGTAGGTGTTGAATGAGAAGGGTTGATCGGAAGACGCGATTTTGGATGGGGTGCGCGGGACGGCTGGGAATTACATTATAGCTAACTAGTATTAGTTAATTTATATATATATATTCCTATAGTCCTAGTTATCACCGCCTGGCCGTCAGCGACTCTAAAAGGGCCCTAAATAGGGCCATATTAGAGGATAATGCAATACTCACTCACTCACTCACTCACTTCTAGTTTATGAGTCTGTAAATAAAGAGTTTGCTTTATATATAACCTAATTATATATAGTAATCACCTACAAACCTTATGAAAACCCTATCAAAATCTGAGGTGAAGAGGAAAGACACAAGAATCCTTATGAATTACTTATATAGAAAGGAATGGAATACACCCTGTAAAACCATCCATTCCCTTACTAATCACGCAGTGATTTCACTTCCCTTAGTTTATATTGGGTATACAACTTGAACAACAACACTATTTCTTCTTTCTCACAAATTTCGGTTCTGCTCAAGAGTTAGCGCAAGGCAAGTTTCCTAGTCAATATATCTGCATATTTACCACTCGGGGTTCGCTTCTTCTTTGGTCTACCCTTTCCTCTCAGCTTTGCACTATGTGAATGTAATGTTAGAATTGATCGTTAACACGGCTGCCGAAGAAGGTAGTACACTTGAATTGCCTCCTCCCGGTCATCCTCTAGCTCATCGAATGTAACCAGATCTTGAGATTTGCAGATATCTTGTAAATCACGAAATGTCACTATTTTCTTTGGGTACCATGCCGCAAGGGTTGGACCGCGTAGACGCTGCCGGAGGATCTTGTTTCCCAAACGAAGGCCTTGGGGATTAAAGGTCGTTGAGAATATGCGACATTGAGTCTGCGAATATTACTATAAATAAATACATGAATAAATGGAGAAAGAAAAGATGCGTACCTTTGCTAACTCCAGCAGTCGATTACTCAAAATTGTCATGGCTAACACTGGTCTGGTGAGAGTGGCTAGGCTAACAAATCCATATCATGCTTTGCTTCCGATGGCCGAAAGTCAGTAGCTAGTGGCACGCCGCAGTGTGGACGGCGGACGGCGGACGGCGGACGCGGCATCGTCCACGTGACCATAGATAATTGGACTCCGGTGCTCAAGGCCCTTACATTGCCTATCTGTAACCAGACTACATATTGAGGAATTGAAATATGCTACAGGGCCTACTATGAAGCTGAAAAGAAAAACCGGGTCTCTAAAAGATGACCTGCCTGACAGCCGCTCTCAAAAAAAATCTAGAGTAAGGAGATCATCCTGAAATACCGCTTGCTCACTACTAATAAAAATTAACTAGCAAAACACAGAACAACATGTCGGCCCTCAAGGGAATTTGAGCTCAGAGAGTGCCCTCGAACAAGAGTTAGATATTCTCAAACATGCACTCCAGGAATTCATGGATAAAGAAACATTCGTGGAACAATGCCTTGGGCGATCGGGTCCAGATGTTTTAAGAGCTGTCCATGCCCTGAATAAGGCCATTAATCAACCAAATTTACTCTCACCTTCTATCCCGGCATTTCCAGATAACCAAGTAGCAAGAAAAGAGGCCTCAGCAATACCGTCAAATAGGAAAGGTGACGGACTGCCGACACTTCCCTATATCACGGATCCTTCACTTAGAAGCTCGGTATTCACGCATCCAGGGGTCAACAGCAAGCCTGATTGCAATTACGATCGCCTGGAAGTCCTGGGCGATGCTTATATTGAATTGATTGCCACAAAAATGGTGTGGAACAGGTTCCCTAACTTGTCATCCGGGCGCATCTCTCAGATTAGGGAAGCTCTGGTAAAAAATGAGACGCTTTCCTCATACGCTGATCTATACGGTTTTATTCGTCAGGCTAGGATACCACGGGATTATTTTGCTCAACCAAAGCGCCTGACAAAAACAAAAAGTGACATATTTGAGGCTTATGTCGCAGCTATTGTACTCTCGGATCAGACCAATGGTCATAGTATCGCCGAGGCGTGGCTTTCAGAGCTGTGGATGCCGAAAATTGAGATGTTTGGTGGTGAGAAATGCGATCTCCGTGCCAAGGAGAGCTTGGCACAGAAGGTTATGGGAAGGAATATAAGCCTCAGTTACATTGACGAGCGACCTCCTCTTCAGCTGGACAATAATGGGCAAACCTTCTTCGTTGGGGTCTATCTTACTGGATGGGGTTGGACCAACAAACATTTAGGGTCTGGTGAAGGCCGGAGTAAAACTATCGCTGGGAATGCAGCGGCAAAAGCGGCCCTGGATAATAAACCACTAATTGATGAAATCGTTTTAGCAAAGGCAGCGAGTCTATCATCTTGAGCATTAGGGGGGTGAGAAAGGGGAATACTGCTGGTAAATGTGGAAGAAAAAATGAAGCTGTCATAATTGGGTTTGGGGAATTTCTGAAGGGATCATATATAATGATACTAGTGGATGATGTATTGTATAGCTATTTCCTAAAATCTAGTTGGATCTTATGAACTGAGCCTCTGGTTAAACCATCTAGGTCGGCGTTACTGTGGTTGATCATGAGGAGATGGCTAAGTAGCCAATTTTTTATTATCTGTATATTGTGATTTAGATATAACAACACTAAGAGAAGGAACTTTAGGGCCACAGAATGGAAGGTCTTCCATAAATTCCTTTAGGACAACATGCCGAGCATCTATATGGGACCCTCTATATTAGAGATCAACTAAGCCACTAATATATTATTACCACTATATAATAGGCTATTAAGAGATTCACCCTTTAGCTAGATATTAAAGCCTACTTTAATCTAGACTTAACGCTAGCCTATATTATAGTAATTAAGGAGATAAGGAGGATATAAAGGGTATAGTAAAATATTACTCTAAAGGCCTAAGAAGCTTATAAATAAAAATATTAATAATAAAAAAATAAAAAATTATATCTAGTAAGAAAAGTATATATATTTCAACTTTAGGAAGGGGGGCTAACCCACTAGACTAAAAAGGTGTCTGAACAATCCAATCTAGGAATAGTGGTAATATATGTAGCCATCATTATAATAATATATTAAAAGTAAGTAAAAGTAGTTATAAAGAGTCTAAAAGGCCTTTAGTAGCTTATAAAGTAATATATTATAAAAAAGATAATATATATAACTTAAATTATATTAAGGCTTAAAATAAAATATAATTATATAAAAAAAATAAAGAAGAAGATAAAAGACTAGCCTATATCTTTTTTTCTTCTCTTTCTTTAGTATTAATAAATAATATTAAAGACAACCACCCAGAGGAGATTAAGGTACTAAATATTGGGAAGTGATACGCGTACAGCCCCTAGCTATACAGGTACAGCCTCTAGCTATAGGCATACAGCCCTTACCTTCTATTTATAGTTAGTATCAGTATATAGACAGCCCAGCATATATCACTTTATATACTTTATAATCTATAAAGATTAACTATAGCCTACCTATAAATTTAGCACTAGAGTCTAATAATATTAATAAGATTAAGTATAACTATTATAAATATAAGAGAGCTAATAATAATAGTAGTAGAATAAAGACTAATACTTATAGATATAGATTAATGAAGTAGATACAGCTCTAGATAAGAATATCTTATTTATTAGTTAGGCCCTATACTTAGTCATTTATTAGTAATTATTATAGGCTTATATAATCCTAATATTAGATTGTAAATTAATATAGGAATTAACCTAGGAATCAGCCCAGGAATCAGCCTAGGAATCAGCCTAGGGATTAACCTAGGAATAAGTATAGAAATTAATATAGAAATCACCTAGGGATTAATATAAGGATTACCTTAGTATTAATATAGGAATCAACACTACTCTATAGAATTAATTATAAGAATCAAGTATAGTCTAACTATAAATGAAAGCTAAGGGCTGTACGCCTATGGCTAGGGGCTATACCTGTATAGCTAGGGGCTGTACGCGTATCACTCTCCTAAATATTAGACTGGCTAAACCCAACCCGCGGGTCAGGTTTGGGGCACTAGATTCCTTACCTGCTGGGTTTCCGGGTATGCCTAGGGTAAACCCATACCCACTCATGGGTATAGCGGGTTTTAATTGGGTAACCTGTGGTTACCCAGCACGTGATTTTATATACCTTAGATTACCTAAATGGGCTAGTCACCTTCCTAAGAGGGTTAGGCTTAGAATCCTTATTGATAAAAAAGTGAATATCTAAAGATTTCAGCTAAATGATGCAAGGATTCTCCCTATATAGAGCCAATAATGAGATAATATTAAACTAACTAATTAAATAACTTTTAGGGATAAATATTATCTATAATATATAAGTATATAATAGGGTTAGGCCCTTATAATATATAAATAATAAGAATATTAATAAGAAATAGTTAATAAATGGTTAAGTAAATAATATAAAGAGAAACTATATATCTAATAGTAGGTATCTGTATATCCATTATAGTCAACAAAAGATTTAATTGGTTTAAAACCAGTCATGTGAGAAACCCTAAACCCAATGGGTGGGTATGACACCTGATGGGTATACCCATGGGTTCTAATTAGTAAACCCATACCTGACCTGGGCATGGGTTGGGTCAGGTTGGGTCAGGTTCTCCAGGTTTGATTTAGCCAGTCTACTAAATATTATAAAAAATAAGATTATAAAGAAGATTAAGATAATAATTATGTATATAAAAGGTCCTAAAAAATAATAATATTTTGAATAAAATACTTTATTAAGCCTTTCTTCATATAATATAATTACTTATAAATCTCTTTAATATATATTTAAGGGTAGGCTATTACCTAAAATACTTTTATATAATTATTATAATAATACTCAAAAAAGAGAGTGATAAGGACTACTTAAAGCTAAAGTTATACTATTTAATTATTTTATTAAATATAATAAGAAATATTTTAAAAATTATTATAACTTAATATTTATTTAAATTATCTTATAAAAGCTAAAAGCCTTCTTCTTTTAAACTACTTTAAAAAGAGAAAAAGAGTATTAATTAATTATATAATCTAAATCCTTATTAAAAGAGTTAAGATAATATGATATTATGGATAATATTATAATTGCTATCCTAAGTCATACCAAGTAGAATTAGTTTAATATATACTAAGGTGTCTATTAATTATAATATATATATACTCTATTATAATCTTTTAACTATAATAGAGTATTATATATAAGTTCTTATCTTAACTTAAGGATTAATAAATTTTATAGAGTTTTATTACTATCTAATTACTTAACTTTAATAAGTTAAGAGAAGGTATATAAATACATCCTTTTTAATTTATAATAATAATAAATAAAGATTTTTCTTTTAGATAATATTAGAGGTGTGTGCCTAATTAAGCTTAATATCACCTTATTTAGTGTGGCCACACTATATAACCACCTACTTTATATCTAAGCTATAGTAGTAATAGTAATTATTAACTATCTCTTCCCTTTTCTAGGCCTGCTAGGCCAATATAGTAGTATATTATTTAAAAAAATAAAGTATATTATATTTAATAAATTCTTATTTATTTAAGATCTTATCTAAATA